ATTTTGACAATCCCCCACATGAGAGGCTGGGCCTTTGTGGGAGTGGTGTGATGGTGGTAGACAGTGCAATTTGTGGAACTGTCACGGAGCGACCCTATAGCACAATTCGCTTGACTGCTTTCCAATTACGCTTGCACGTGAGAAAGTGAAACTCGTGCCGGAGCGATACTAGATTTGCGGGTTGGCAACATCTCGCTCCCTTGTTGGGTACCCGGAAAATATCAGGGGCTGTAGTTCATTCCGGACACAAAAAAGGGGCCACAATCATTTCTAAGAACCCACCATTTACTACCTCCACTTGGAGCCAACCCTCCAGGAGCAAAGGGTGGAACAGTGCAACGTGTCGGACCGGAGCCCTTGCCGCCCTCCTTGTTGGCTCAGAGAGCCTCTTGTGTCCCCCGAATGTCAGAAGAGTCAGTCCTCATCAGGTTTAAGCAAAGTGCTTGGAACACCAGATGTTCACGGCTTCGGCTCCAGCCCCCGGTTATCCTAGGTTTATATTGGGGTTATGTAAGGGTTATGTTGGGTCGTATTAGGGTTATATTGAGATTATATTGGGATTTTATTGGGGTTATATTCAGGTTATATTCATTTCATTCCAACCCTAAACCCAACTGACAGATCCTAATTGCCTTCTCTTCGGGGACGTTGCTTCCGAAGGGAGAGCGGTCCAAGAGAGCTTTCATGGAGTGGTGCGGGCCACGACGACGATGCTCGACCGCGAGAAGGGCCTTGCTTCTGCCACTCCTTGATCGTGAGCAGTCACGCTTTTCATAATGGAGTGTCAGATAGCACTGCCTCATGCCCCGACGTCATCTCAGCAGTGTGTGTAACATGTGTCAGGCTAGCACGCGAGACAGGTGTAATGCTAAGCGCTTAAGTCAATCAATCTTCAATCCTGTGCTGACCATCAGGATAGCAATGAACGCCTTGAAGCTGCATGCAGCAGCATCTGGGCTGCGTTAGATGGCATCACTGGTTGGAATTGGGTGTATTTGTGGTTGCTTGTTGTTTTGTGGTGGATACGAAGGTATGTCCGCTACCGCTGCAGATATCGTGCCTCCTCTGCACACATTTGGAGTGGCTAGCACTTTGAACAACTGTCCGTGAATCAGGTTTGCAACTTGCCTCAAGCTGCGCCTTAGATAATGATTGCAGCTGTTCTGTTCCAGGTCTTCACAGCGGCGTGTTTCGTCACAGGCACGCGAGCTGGCCAAGCATGACTGTTTCTTGAGAGGGTGCAGGGTCGGAAAGCTGCGTGAAGCTTCACGTCTTGACGTTGAGTGGCCTCGAAATGACAGAGTGGGTTTGAGATCCTCTTCCTCACCTTTGTAGGGCAATTGGGTTTTGTCCTCAGCATTTGCCGCTGTTCTTTTCGACCCATTGCATTAGAGGGGTCTGGTTACCATGTTGTCTCATACTGTCCCGCGGGGTGCGACAAGCTCTCCAAGCGAGCTGCACAGAAATGTACAGTCTTCATTGCCAGCAGCCTGAGAACCGAAAGGCTCCGACGGTAAATCGTGGTCTGCGCGAGTGGCATAAAGCAGCACTGGTCCAAGTCTTGCAAATTCATGTTTATATTCATGTTCAATCCGTGTCCCAGCAGACTCCGTGAGCTTCCATGCTCAGGTTCGTGCCGTTCCTCGCTGCGGCACCCCGCCGGCAAGAGTGGCCCGCGATTGCACCCACTTTGTGTCCGGGGCTCAGCATTGCGCCAGATGAGCTTGTTTCCAGCTTGGTTGAGAGATGTTGAGAGTATTGCAGGACAGGGTGACTCTCTAGCTTTTGGTTTTTGTATGTTCCGTTCCCGGGGCATGCTCCGAGGCCAACTCCAAATCGGCACGGCACTGTACCGATACCAACTGGTGATGAGAAGCGCTGCGCTTAGTCTGCCTGCTCTTCTATAAAGCTCTCAGTCCACAGGCAGGCCTTGGAGGAAGGAAATCTGTGGGGAACACGGTGGATTTCTAGCATTTTTCTGTAAGGCCACACGCTCGAGGCGGTGCCTGGACTGCGATTGGCTGTTAGCAGTGACATCAGGGTAGGGAGGCAATTCGGCAATGAGAAGGAAGCACTATGCTGTCTCAGGTTTGCTGAGCGTGACCAGCATATCGTGCAAATCTTCGCTGCGATCCTAGCAGTTGTTTTGCTATCTCTGTCACCTTGCAGAAGTGTCAACCGGAGACTTTTTCCTTAGATGGCTGAGGCCATCAACAGCTTCAACGGTCTCTGGCTCCACTACCCCCGCACTCATAGAAGTTGGCACCAGCGAGGAGGATGGCTTTATCATGCTTTGTCTGTGTATGGCCTGCTGATTTGACCGCAAGTTTGGAGAGGACATGGAGATTTCCCACTCAAAGCCGTATGGTGGCAGGCAGACTTGGGTGTGAATAGCTTCCCTGGGTTCGAGCCCTGTCAAGGCCTCCGTCCTGCGAAGATCCTTGGCAGGAACACCCAGAGATCGCTGAGGAAGACTGGGAGGCGGGGGCAGGATGTAGCTTTGGATGGTTTCAGGCCTAACCAACCTCTTGCAGGGGTGCAGAAAACCCCGGTCATGTTCAATGCTGAAGCCGTGATTCAGGCTTGGCTGGCAGACTTTCGAGAACTGCAGCGCAAAGTGGAGCAAAGGCAAAGTGTCCTCGTGGCATTGATGTTTTCTGCACTGAAACATCTGTATCATGCGGGGGCTTAGAGCGCCAGCTTTGAGATAACCCCTAAACCCTAAATAGTAGCTTCCATTTTCTTTTCCATTATCCCTATATACCCCAATATAAGCCCCAATATAACCCCTATAATCTCTATAGTTTCCATTTTCTTTTCCATTATCCCTATATACCCCAATATATACCCTACAATCCCTAGAAACTCCCTTTAAGCCTAAAGCCTAAACCCTCTAAAGCCCAGGTCCCAGGATGAGGCAAAGGCCTGTGCAAGCAGAGTCCGTGCGCCAGAGTGCGTGAGCAACTCAGCATGTTCCCAAACCTCCGAGTTGGGGTACAGGGTTTAAGGGTTTAGGGTTTAAGGGTTTAGGGTTTAGGGTTTAGGGTTTAGGGTTTAGGGTTTAAGGGGATATATTGGGGTTATACTGGGATAATGGAAATAAAATGGAAACTACTAAATTATCGGGGTTGTATCGTAGGGTCCTTAGAATTTGAGTTACACTTTTTCGGTGTAGATGGTGTCTGCCCTACAGCCCTCCGGTAACCCAAATCCGGATCCCTAAGCCTGGTAGGAAGATACTTGGTGTCTTCGTTTCAATCTTGCCAGACAGTATGTCTTCCAACGGACTGGACAGGTGGATGAGAGCGCGCCAAAGAAGACAAACCTGGTGTGAACAAAGAGTCAAAACTACGTTAGACCTTAGGCCCGGGATGCCCAACTGCTATTACTACTGTTTTTTTTATTACAATAAGATTATTATGATTAGTCTCGTTATTTTTGCAATTACCATCATTACTATGAGTGTTGTCATTATTCCACTAGATTCCTGTTGTTATACCCTAAACCCTAAACCCTAAACCCCTTGGACTTGTGAACCCCCGAGGCCGGAGGAGCAGGGCCTTGTTTCGGGAGCATTCAGCAGTCTCGCTTCCTGGATGGCTCCCTGGTATCACTGCAGAGCCCATGGTGGGTTTAGGGTTTAGGGTTTAGGGTTTTGGTTCTTAGTAGGGAAGATGAGAATATAGTAGATAAGGAGTATAGAGTGATCACATTCACCTGTTCCCTAGTATTTAATGTGATTGAAGCTGAATGGTTGATGGTGCAGGGTTTGGGAGGGCCTCAGGTGCAGGTGTATGGGGGTTTGGCAGAAGCCTCGTTCCCTTGAAATTTTCGCAAGATGCAAGGCCTGTTATGTCAACAGTACGTTTCGCACAGTTTGCCCTTGTCCCGCTAAAACGTGATCCCCACCTTTCTCCCGGCATTTTTCTGCGAGACTGAGGATGCTGGAGGCCCTAGCCATCAGCCCGCAAAAAGAAGGCACGAAGGGAAAATGGACTTGAGTTTCCAGCTTCGGTGTGGTTAACCTTTCAATGCTCGGTTGCGATGTGGCTAGAGAGGCTTTCCGAAGATGGGTCGAACGCCGTACTCCTATCAAGCTCTGCAGTTGTCCCTTCACCTTGTAAGTAACGGAAGTTAGGTCTCGCATGGTCTCGTCCTCAAACCCTGAAGAAGTTCGGGTCATGCATCCATCTCCGCTAAAGTCACGATGCAGCGTGGCTGCGCATGCAAAAACCTATGCATGATCCAAAGCACCACCATTTCATAAGAAAAGAGGTTGGCCCGCCAGCAGCAGTTCAAGCGCAGAGCACACATTGCTTGACAATCCGCACCGGATGACGCCATAAGAGGCATCTAGGATCTAGCTCAGGATAGTTACGCTTCTCAACACGATCCGCCCCGACAGCCTAAATCCAAATGTTCGCATGATGTGGTCAGCTCCTGCTGTCAGCCATGCTTCCTCAGCCAGGACATCCAAGCTGCCTCCAAGCTGCTTGATCGGTATTCCGGATGGGGAGGTGACTATGGAAAGGCAGCCCGCATGTTGCTGAAAGAAGTAGTATTGCCAGAGTTGCAGCCAGAGCCAACTAGCTGCGACTGCTTGATAGCAACCTTCCCCTGATGCAGCACGTTTCTGGTGCAAGGAGAAGTCCTTGTTCAATTTGACGATCCTGACAAGTATTTGGTTCTGCTGATATTCTGCTGTAATGCAGGGTCAGGAAGGCCGCTGCAAAGGCGGCGGCCTGAGATGGGAGGGTCAGCAGTGAGCTGATGTTTGCACTGTAAGCTTGGTTCTGGAGTTGAGGCGAAGGCGCAGAGTGCGCCGTCTGAAGCGAAAACCGCTCATTGAGGCGTGCATCCTGGGCCCCACCATGGCCCCTACCTGACCAGTTTGTTTTTTGCAAGCTTTCGGTGATGATTGGTATTTATTTTGCACCATGCTTGGCTCGGAGCCCTTCACCGAGCTTCGGTTAACGCCATGGGCCTCTCCAGCTCCGTATGCCCGGAGTGGAAGGCGGAGCAGTGGCCCCAGGCCTTTGCCACCTCACCATGGATGGGTCCGCGGACCACGGTGTCCTTCCGCGCGCTTTGGGCTGCCATTTTCTCGGCACATGTTATCTGGAATTGGTGGGTTCGCGGTAGAGGTGATGGAGCCTATCACTTCATCTTTCTGACTGTGCAGGCGAGCTGGCTGGAGGCCTTTAACCTAACAGTGCAGTGGGTTGTGGCCATGATGGGCTTCCCATACCTGCAGACCATGCAGATCTCGCCGCCTGAGCCCTGCCTTGCTCGTTTCTCCATAGCTCTGAACTCTATGTCGCAACCTTTGTCAACCGTCGTTGCAGTACTTTTCTGGGTCCTGATATACCCGGACTCGGGGGGTGACATCTGTTACATGGATTATTTCCTACATGGGATCAATTCAGGCCTCTTGCTCCTAAACCTTCTGGTCACCCGCATTCCCTTCTCGTGCGCTCGCGTTGGCTGGCTTGTCCTTTACCAAATTCTTTACGTTGGATGGACGTATGCCCACTACCGTCTCCGTATAGGCATACGGGGAGGATGTTGGAATTGCCCTGAAGATTGGACAAGCCTCGATGATTGTGATGCCGAGTACCCGGCAGACGAGTGTCCCATCTACGCAACCATTGACTGGCACCACCCACTAGCTGCAGCGCAGTTAGGATTTGGTTTGGCTTCTGTCGCTTTGGTTGCACTAACAACGGGTTGCGCTAAGAAGGATGCAAGATTGCTGCATCATGCTTCCGCTTTGGTCAGTCAGGTGGGGCTGTTGTAATACTTGCAATAGCCGATTTTCCGAGGTTTTGATCGCGGTGGTTCAAGGAGTGTATGTTGGGCTGGTGACCTGCAGAGATGCCAACGACAAGAAGCTGGACCTCTGGATGGCTGAGTCGCGAGAAATGCCTGAGTTTATGCCCCTGGAGTATTTCACCAGAGAGGACGCTCCAAATTGCGCGTGTTGGAAATGCGCGTGAAGCAACTCTGGAGGGCTTGGTCTCACCCTTGGAGGCATCGTGGCACAAAAACAGTGCCAGTTGCCCATCGCCATCACTTTCCGTGACTAGGGGGCATGGGGCAGGCGTATGTGGAGAAAAAGGGAGTTCAGCAGACTGCAATGTGCAGGGAAGGCCGGGATGCCTTCATGAGACAAGCATATTGACTGGGATAATGGAAAAGAAAATGGAAACTACTATAATGGAGAATCAAGTGGAAAAGAAAATGGAAACTACTATAATGGAGAATCAAATGGAGAATCAAATGGAAAAGAAAATGGAAAATGAAATGGAAACTGGGATTATTATGGGGTACATAACATCATACGCCAGCGATGAAGGGCTGCAAGCATCTTCCCATCCATCGGACAGGTGGGACCGACCACGAGTCTGACAAAGTTTGCAGGTCGTGTCGTCGAGATCGAAGATGTTGTTGACCCTAGCAAGACTCAGAAATAGCCTGAACATGCCCGAATGATGCCAGCCGTACAACGTCACTCACAACATCTTCAATCCCTTTACAGATGTGGTAGTTTCCCCAAATAGGGGCATCCCCAATAGATCCCAATATAGTAGAACCCTTGTTATGGAGACCCCAAAAGGGTACCCCCAATTTTGGGAGACCCCTATGTAAACTGTTGCAAAATTGAAGAGATGCCTCGTTTCACGCATTAAATGCTGCTAAACGTCATGCGCTGCGCAATGCGCACTCCTGCGAGTTCTTTACGCGCTTCCAACAGGGCTGTATTGCTCTGGTTGGGTGCAGAAAAATCTTTGAACCTGGATCTGAGAGGACTGTGACTGGACTCTCCAAGCGTCAAACAAGCTTGTTTGAAATGCTGGCTTCGACAAGGAGATGAGCGCAGTGGTTACCGTCAGCCTTGTTTTGGTGCAACATGAAATTCGTGTATCCACTACCAGAAGCCAGCTGGGAATGGCAAGCGGAGGCAAAGTGGATGTCAGCTGTCGGGAAGCAAATGCATCTGGGCTTGCGAAACATCGCAAAGCTCAAGCGATCCGAGACACCAGCAAAGAATTGAGAAGGTTGCTTGCATCCTTTCCTCCGCTCCATGCCGCATTCGTGAGGCCACCGACAAGTCATTTACAACATGGGAGGCATGCCAGGTTTGCGTGTTTCCAGCTGTAAACTGTCGAATGGCCGTGGATCAGTAGTAGGACTCACCTCCAGAGCAAGCAAGCACCAGAAGGGGATTATCAGCCTTCAGTTCAGGTAGGTGCTTTCCGAGAGTTTTCAACACTGGGTTTTTGCTGCAGTGGTTTGTAGATGGGTTTCTGGAACAGCTTTGGGTATCTGGACTGGCTGCTGCTTGCACTGAGAGATCGGCCTTGTGCAAATACAGTGCGACGATCCATTGCAGACTCAGCGGAAGAAGCCTCAGAAGAAGCTTCAAGTTTGTTCTGCTAAGGCGATCCTGGGCGTTTGAAAGGGCTCCCTGGGTCTGCAACCGTCCCAAGACAAGCAGGGATCAGATGAGCTATGGTGTCAACTCCTTAAAGGCAGTTATATAGGGGATTCAATGGGGGACTACTAAAGGGCATTTTAGGGGGGATACTAAGAATTTCGACCCTAAATTCTAAATTATGCGGCAATATAGGGAGATACTAGGAGATTAGACCCTAAACCCTGGACCCTAAACCCTATATCATGTTGGATAAGGGGGATGCTAGGAGTTCAGACTACAGCTCAGATGGAATCTGCACGCCTGAGCAGTGCTTGACACCACGAGGTCGACCTTGGCTGGGTTTCATGATGCTAGCAAGTCCATATCAGCCTCATAACGGAAAATCAAATGGAGAAGAATATGGAAAATGAAATGGGCTCTGGGATTACATGGTGGTTCATAGGGATTACAGGTTCCTAACATGAGGAATTAAGTGCAAACTTGATTGTAGGAATTTAGGGATGAGGCTTTACCGTTGATAGGGATGACGGTTCCATTTCACATCTCCCACCTAGTGGCGTCCATAGCCTCAGGAAGGTCATGATCCCCTAAACCCTAAGCCCTAAACCCTAAACTCTAAACCCAAACCCTAAGCAGCCAAGGGCTCCTGCTGATGCTTGCATGTGGGTTCATGCGAACCAAAACGAACCACTAATGAACATCTCGCGAGAGGCTGCTCCTGGCGGAAAAGACTGCAAAATGAGGGTTTAGGGTTTAGGGTTTCGGGTTTCCCAAAATTAGGGGTACCTACTATAATGGAGAATCTAATGGAAAAGAAAATGGAAAATGAAATGGAAACTGGGTTTATATAGGGGATTATAGGGATTGGGGCTGAAAAGATTCTACTGGAGCTTATTGGCACTTTGCTTCCCTCATCCGTAGTCCGTCACTCCAACATGTCTGTCAGTTACTGTGTTGCTGTTACGGAACTTAACTTAATTTGCCATAATGGGTATATATATATGTAGTAAATAATCGGGCTTCCCCAATATAGTAACTGAATTTAAGTTCCTTAACAGCAACCCAGATTGTTGCAGAACTTTGCTCAAAGAGACTTGGTGGGATAGTACTTGTTAGGCCTTCGGCCGCAGCCTCAGGCCTCGTCCTCCTACTTGGAGCAGTATGCTGCTTTGAAGCCATCTGCAAAATTGGGATAATGGAAAAGACAATGGAAACTACTATTTAGGTTTTAAGGTTTAGGGTTTAGGGTTTCCCAAAATTAGGGGTACCTACTTTAATGGAGAATCAAATGGAAAAGAAAATGGAAAATGAAATGGAAACTGGGTTTATATAGGGGATTATAG